GACGGGTGCATGCCCCCGCTCCCCCCACCCCGGGCTCCCGCACCGCGTGCTGCCCGCGGGACAGGTGCACGGAGGTCAGGCCGGCTGGGGGCTCCAAGGCGTCTCTTCCCTGCGCTCCTGCTCCTGAGCTGCAGGGGCTCCCCCGGGCCTCGAGGCCTCCCACGGGGCCCAGGTCACTTCCTCCCTGTGACCTTGGGCACGGCTGGCCCGCGGCCTCAGTGCCCGGTTTGTGCCCAGTCCGGCACCTCTGTTCCTGCGTAGGGCTCGCGGGCGGCTTTGCTCACTCCGCAGGAGAGGCGTGGCCGTCTCACCTGGTCTCTCCAGATCGGTGTCCGGCATCCTTGCCCCGGTGGCTCCTTGCCTTGTGGCCCGGGTGGACCTTAACTGTGGCTCCGTGTGGCCAGTGCAGGCCCGGGTCCGGCCAGCCAGCGCCTTTGGTGACACCTGACTGGTGCCAGTGGCGCCGTGTTCGTGGGAGGGGCCATAGGGCGGAATGTTCCTGGGCTGGCTCTTCTTGCCCAGTGACCCTGGACCCCCACGGTGCTGCAGCCCTCATCAGGGCAGACCCCATCCGGCCAGACGCACCAGGAGAAGCGAGACGGTAGTGTCTCCGGGAAGCGGCCATGGTCTGCCTGAGCGGGCGGCCGGGCCGCGGGGTTCGTTCCCAGCCACGGCTCCTGCCCACACTCCTCGCGCGCCGTGGCCTGGCCCCCGGGGTGTCAGGCACCAGCCTGGGGAGCAGGCGGGGTGGTATTCAGGGCCCGGGGGGCAGGTGTGGTGTGGCCCCAGGGCTCTGTCCAACCCTGGCGGGGCTTTGGCCAGGCAGGGACCTCTGTGCAGCCCCGGGGCATCTTCCAGGGCCTGGGTCAGGTCGGCTGACCTTCTTGCCAGTGGGCGGCCAGCTGGACCCCCTGCGGCACTGGGCCCGGGGTCCCGCTCAGCCACCTCTCGGGGGGCGGCTCAGATTCCTGCGTCTTGGCGCCAGGGCTCCGGAGTCCAGGCGCGGGGCAGGGGCCTGGGCTGTGGCACTGCCCCTTGCCGGCCCCCCACAGGCACCCCCATCTCGGCCCCTGGCCCCGGACACCCCCTGGGGTGCTCTGTGGAGCAGGATCCTACCATCAGGGGCCACAGGCAGGTGGGCGAGGTCCCTGTGCAGGGCCCGGGCGCCTGTGGCTGGGCTTTGCCCGGGGCCTGGCCCACGCCCCTCCCCCCCGCCCTCACCTGGAGGTGGACACACCGACCTGGGGGCAGCAGTGACAAGCGGCCCAAGAACGCAGCGGGCTCAGGTCACGCCTGGCCAGGAGGGCCTGAGCCGCCCCGCCTGGCAGGCTGGCTGTCCTCGGGTGTCTGGGCCTCCCGGGTGTAGCCCTGGGGGCGAGCGCTGCTCACACCCCGCGGAGCCTGGCCGGCGTCCATCTGGGGCTCGTCATGCGGTCGCTGGGGACCCGGCGCCGGCCGACCTCGCCCCAGGTGTCTGCAGGTCCTCTGCGGCCCCCTGCCCCACCCCTGCTCAGACCCCTGGGCCCTCCCTCCGCGCCCGGTGCACACCGCAGCATTGGTGGGGTGGCCTGCAGGTGCGGGGCCGGGTGCCCAAGGGAGGCGGCCACCACCCGCTGGGCACCGCTGTCCCGCTGCCCCGGACGCTGGTGTGGCCGGAGCCTCCAGGGTGCGGTCAGGGGCTGTGGTCCAGGCGGCGCTGCCCTCGCCGGCGGGGGCGGGCTGGGTGGCAGTGCCCAGTGCTGGCCCCGGTGACGGCTCGTCCCCTGCGCAGGGAGAAGAAGTGGGTGACCGTGGGCGACACATCCCTGCGCATCTACAAGTGGGTGCCCGTGGCGGAGCCCAAGGCGGATGATGTGAGTTGGGGCTGCCCCCCGCCCCCCCCGTGTGAGCTGCCCAGGCCCTGGGCCGGTCCGTCGAGGCCAAGTGGCCGAGGGGCTCTTGGGCGTGTCCCCCCGTCGGCCCTCAGACCTGGGGGCCCCAGGCGGCGCTTCTGAAGCCCACGTTGCACCCCTGGCCCCGTGGTTTGGGGCAGCTGGTGTACCCCCAGGCAGGTGGCCCCGGCACTCCTTGGAGCGCCTGGCCGCGGCCGGCCGTCCCTCCGCCCCTGGGTCTGGGCAGCTGACCTTCCACCTTTCTATGAAAATTTGGGTTCAGGCTGGGGGGGGGGTGGGGGGACGTGGCCCCACACCCGGCGGGTGTCGGACACCAGCACCTCCCGATGCAGGGCTGCTGGCCGGGGCCGGGCCCATCCAGGGAGAGCCGGGCAGCTGCCCGTCACCCAGCAGGTTCTCCAGCCTCGGGGGCCCTGGGCCCGGTAACCCCAGCGCAGGCCGGCCTCGGAGCTGCCCACTCCGCCCAGCTGCCTGCCTGGCTGGTCAGTGTCCAGGGCCGCAGCCCCCGCTTCAGTCTCCCTCGGCCAGCATCACTTGCTGGCGGCTGACCTAGGTCTCGGGGCAGCACAGAGCACGTCCTGCAGCGGACTGCGCGTCGGCCGGTCATCGCAGCAGCGCGAGACAGGCCGCAGGGGACAGTGGGCTGTGGCCCAGGGAGAGCCGGCGCGGACAGTGCCCCGGAGCGCCTGTCCTGCCTGTGTCCGCTCAGCTGCGGCTCCGCCAGCTTGCCCCGCCCCAGCGGTGGCCATGCCCTCGGGTCAGCGTGCTCGTCTCCCCCCTCCGTAGAGGTCACTACCTGCGCTCGCAGCTGGGTGTGGGGTGGCGGAGGCACCCCCACCCCCACCCCCCGCCGGGCCTTCGGCCTGCCTGTGAGCCTGGCCGGGCCGAGCGCCCTAACCTGGCCAGGCGGCCTGCGCGAGTGACCGGCCCCTCGGGAGACCACGAGCCTTGCGCCCTGCACCCCGGGCGGCCTGACTGCACCGCTGGCCTGAGTGGCCCGCGCGCGGCCGCCGACCGGTGCCTGCTGTTTCTCCCCCAGAAGAGCAAGAAGAAGAAGGGCAAAGACGAGAAGTGCGGCTCGGAGGTGACGACCCCCGAGAACAGCTCCTCCCCCGGGATGATGGACATGCACGGTCAGCCCTGGGCTCCCCCGGGCGTGGGGGGCGGGCTGCCGGCCCTCCGTCCGGCCGCCGTTGGCATCCCAGGAGCCCCCAGGGAAGGGTTTTCGGAGGGCCGTGCGTGGGGACCAGCCTGCCCGGGCACAGCCCTGGGCCCTCTGACACCCCCCCCCCGCGGCCTTGCTTGTCCCCACGAGCCACCGGCCAGGCGCTGCCCCTGTCGCTTCTGCGATGCTGGTGTGACCCCGCAGAGAGGGTCTGCCCGCTGCGCCCCAGCTGACCGAGGCAGGCGCTGCGGGTAGCGGGCCGCCTCCCTGGCCGGGGAAGCCCAGCACCCAGACTGGCCCCGAGGGTCCGGCCGAATCCCCAGGAGGCCCGCCACTCCCCGCCAGCCCTAGCCCAGGATTTCGCCCCCTCCCTGTGGAGGGCGTGGCCTCCTGGCCGCCCGCCCACCTGCCTGGGTCGCAGGGTCCACAGAGGCCGGTGCCTCCTGGTGAGCATTGGCCGAGGACAGGGCTGGCCCGGGCCTGGCTGGGGCGACGGAGAGCCGGCTGCTGGCTGGCAGGGCCGGCCGGCTGCGGTCCCCTGTAGCTGCGTGGTGGGCCTGGCCTGTGTCCCCTGATCCTGACCCCCGGCCGGGGCCGGCGAGGCTGAGGGGCTCCAGCTGCAGCCGCTAGCCCGAGGCGCTGGCCTCGCGCTGGGGTCCAAGCGGCCAGTCTCTGACGCGGACCCCCCAGGGTCAGCCGCGGAGGGCCGTGCAGCGCCCGCTGGCGGTGTCAGGGCCAGGGAGGGTGACCATGTCCCAGCCGCGCGACCTGCCGTCGTCCCAGGGCGCAGTGGCCCGCCCCGCAGGGACACCGCGCACGGCGCCAGGCGGGAGGGTCTGAGGGTGCCCAACGCTCCTCATCCCCCTCATCCTCCTGGGCAGCGGCACAGGGCGCGGCGCTGGGCAGCCTGGACTCGGGCACCTCTGTGCCGGGCTGCAGCTGGGCGTTCAGGACCGCACCCCGGGGGTGAAAGCGGGGAGCCCCTGCTCTTGGCGCCCAGCTTTTGGCTGGGTCCGGGGCGGGGCGGGGCCGAGCCCGCGCGGGGTCACGCTGCCCCTCGCCCACGCAGACGACAACAGCAACCACAGCTCCATCGCAGACGCCTCCCCCGTCAAGCAGGAGAACAGCAGCAGCTGCAGCCCCGCCCCCGAGCCCGGCGCCGTGGCGCCCGCGGATGGTGAGGCCCGCCCTGACGAGGCCGCAGCCGAAGCCAAGGTGCCGCCAGGCGCTGAAGGTGGGTGTCCTGCGGCCCGAGGGCCCCTGCTGGTCCGGGCGGCCCGAGGCGTTGGGAAAGGGCCGCGCGGGGCAGCGTGCGAGGGTGGGGGTGGGGGTGGGGGTGGGGGGGTCCCAAGCTCAGCCAGGCAGCAGCAGTGGGCTGGACACGCCAGCCGGAGGCAGGCATGCCTCGTGCCGCCACCTCGCCCGGCTTCCCGCTGGGCCCCACGGGTCTGGCCGTGATCTGGAGGTCCGGTCTGCGGGAGGGCAGGCAGTGGGAAGGGGGGCTACCCCCGGGGCGTGGAGGGGCGGGGCTGCGCCCCGTGTGGCTGCTGCTTTGGAGGGCGCCAAGCTTTGTTTTTCAAGATTGATTTATGCACAAGAGCGGGGTGCAGGCTAGAGGCGTGGGGCTGGGGGGCACCCCAGACACAGTGGGGAGCAGGACGGGAGGGTCCCCCGGAACCCATTGTCGAGGGGCCTGTGTGTCCTCGGCCACTCCCTGGCCGGGTCGCTCGGCTACGCCCCGGACCCACCCCTCACCCAGCCCTGGGGACGCCGGCCCCCCCGCCCGCAGCGCCCCCCAGTGCGGCACTGAGCTGTTCACTGCTGAGCGGTTTGGGCTGCCCGTGGCTCCTTGGGCTGCGTCCAGAGCCATCCTTGCAGGCCCCACCCTTCAGTCCAGTGCCCCGGGGCAGGAAGGAGCTGGGCAGAGATGGGCGCCACCGACCAGCACCTTGCAACGTGGGGGAGCAGCCATTTCTGGGACAAATGGAGCTGGGGTGTGGGTGAGAGGACCCCCAGAGACTGGGGAGCAGAACGGGAGGCTGACCTGGCCCAGAGGCCCAAGAGGCAGCAGCGCAGTATGTTCACTGCTCGGCGGCTGGGCAGCTCCCACGCGGGTTCCAGGTCCCTGGAGGTGCCGTGTCGTGACCACTCGCTGACCCCTGCCCTGCACCTGCCTGGACCTGCCCGGCTGGCACGGCCACCTCTGCCCTGCAGGTGTCGCCCTGGCCGCTGTCTCTGGTGTTGGCTGCCCCCGCGGCCACCTGGCCCTGCCGCACCTGGCGCCCCTGCCCACAGGGCCCAGTGACCGCGCGGCTGGGCTGGGCAGTGCCGGCCTCATGCTCGGCCTTCCCCCCGTGGCTGGGCGAGGGGAAGGTGCCTGGCCTGGAGCGGCTGGCGGTGGGGTGCCTGGGGGCCGACCTGCGGGCGCCCCGACCTCGCTGCAGCCTCTGGTGCTTCTGCGTTTCTCAGACGGCGCCGACGAGCAGAACCCACAGCCTGCAGCGGAGACCCCGGCCAGCAGCTCGGACAGAGCAGAGCGGCCGCCGCCTGGAGACGCCGCCCTAGCCGCCGAGCCGCCAGCCGCCCCGCAGGTACCCGCGCATGGGCGGGCCGCTGTCCCCTGGACGTCCTCCCCGTGGGGTCCTGGGGCGGGCAGGGCGGCTGGAGCCCCGCGTGATGCCACCCTGCCCGCAGGACCTGGACGGGGGGCCGCCCCCCAAGAAGCTGAAGCTGGAGCCTTCGCAGCAAAGCCCGGCAGACATGTAGAGCCGGCGGCCCGGGGCACCGGCCTGGCCCAGCACGACGTGGGCGCCTGGCGCCGACCGGCTGGCGGCCCCTCCCGCTTCCTCTCTGTGCCTTGCGCCCTCAGGCGGCCTCGCATGCCCCCCGTGTCCGTCTCCCTCCCTCAGCCCTTGGTTCCCTCCCGCCTCCAGACCACGGCCCTCGAGCAGGACCCCAGAGCTGCTTCCCGCCCCTCGGGCTGGGCCATCTTAGTCGTGCACCCGGGGGCGCCGGTCTCCTGTGGAAGAAAGGGCTGAGGGCCTTGCCGGCTGCGGGGGCTGGTGCTGGGCCCCACCGCGCCCCGCTGGGCCCCACGGGGCTCCCCGGCGCCTCCCGGGCTTCCTCCGCTGCGCGGCCTCTAGGGCTGCCCAGGGCCTGGCCTGGGGCGCCGGTGCTGGGCCCCCGGGGCGAGGCCAGGCTGGCCGCTGAGGGGCGCCCGTGGGTCTCCTGCACTTCAAGAAGAATCAGAAGTTCCTGAATCTCAAATACCTCATCCAAGGTTTCTCCTGAAATAAGGGAAGAGCGGACTCGGGCGGCTCCCACTGGAGGCCCGGGGCCTCGGCCCCCACCCGGCCGCGGACGTTTCTCGCCGCAGAGCCCGTCCTGTCCGGTGAGAGATGCCTCTGGACTCGCCCCTGGCGGCCGGCCGGCGGCAGGGAGGGCGGCGGCGCGGGCCGTCCTCAGCTTTCCTCTGAAGTGCCTGAAGGTGGGAGTGGCTGAGGCGCTGGCAGCCGCCAGGCACAGCCTCGGCCCTGACTCTGCGGCCCAGAAACCCCGATGTGCTTCCGCCCCGGGCGCCCCACGACCCCTGGGGACCCCCGCCCTCGGCGGCCGCCAGGGCCCCGGGCAGACTGGCTCCCCACATTCCAGTGTGCCGGCCGCACCCCCGCCCGCGCAGGGGCGCAGAGACCGGCCTTGCCCGACCTCCCTCCCCGTTTTCGGTGTTGTACAGCAGTATGGTTTTTCACTTATTTATTCCATCGGTAGATATGGTTTGTACAATGTACAATGGTTCCGTTTCGGAGAATAAAAACCTTCCAGTGGCGCCGCGCGGTGGGGCATGCTGGTGACACCTGACCCGGGCGGCGGGCTCCGGCCGCCGCTGCCTGCCACCCGCTGCCCGAGCCCAGCGCCGAGGCCCAGGCTGAGCGCCGCGGCTGGCAGCGGACGCCACCGTGGCCTCCCGGCCCCCAGCAGGTCCTCACTGCCCTCCCCACCTGACCCCACCCCAGGCCAGGGGACGGGGTCCCCAGCCAGCCTGGGCTCTGGAGGAAACCATCCTCCCCGGCCTCCCATTCCCAGGAGCTTCCAAATCCAACAAGCCCCAGGGGAGTGCCCGGCTGGCTCTGCCCCACACCTGCCTGCCTGCCTGTGCATCCGGCCCTGCTGGGGGTCCCTCCAGGCCCTTCTCAGGCCCCCCTGCTGGTGCTGAGCGCATCGCCCCGAGAGCTTGCGGGGGCCCCATCTGCAGGACCCCGGAGTGGTGGCCTGGGGTCAGTGGGCCACGAGCCAGCGAGCGGCAGGGACGGGGCCTGGAAGGCTGCAGTGTTGGGGGCTGGCAGAGGCCCAAGGCCTCCAGATGGGGCCCCCGCAGGCAGGGAGACCCGGGCTCGGGCCAGGTCCGGCCAGAAAAGGCCTCTGCTGACCCAGGCCCTGGGCCTCTGCCCAGCCGGGGACTTACCGTCTGCACCACCCTGGCCCAGCAGTTGGGGACCACACGGCCAGAGGCGCCCAGGGAGCGAGCTGGGGTTTCCGCGGGGACTGCTGAAGGTGGCACGGGGCAGCGGGGCAAACCCCGGCAGCGGGCCTTGTGTGCTTGGTGATGCATCTTTAAGGGGCTCCTCATGCTGGTGCCCCAGGAAGGCAGCACAGGATAGCGGAGCTGTGGCGAGGGCACGCTGGCCCGGCCACCCTACCGGGCAACCTGGCAAGACCACGGCCAGTCCTGGGCTCTGGCCCTCCATGCCAGGGATTGGCATCCAGGCTGGCTTGAGGCCCTGCCTCGGCTGGGCCACGGCCTCACGTGCGTGGCCACGTGGCAGGGACCTGGAAGCTGCCCGGCCTCACGTGCGTGGCCACGTGGCAGGGACCTGGAAGCTGCCCGCTGAAGGCGGAGGTGGTGCACACCCGCCCGGCCCGGCAGCCGCCCAGCACGCTGGTACTTGGTGCTTTGTGACCCCAGGCAAGTGTCTCCGCCTCTCTGAATCCTGCTGCTGGGCGCGAGGGGCAGACGCCGGCCTCGGCAGCTGCAGTTTCCAGGCAGCTCGTCCTCCAGCATGTCTAGGCTCCTGAAGGCAGAGCACTGGGAAGGTCCGAGCTCTCTCCCACCATCCCCTGCTGACCTCTGCAAAGGCCTGCCCCCTCTCAGTGTCCATGCCGGGTGCGCCCACCCGGCGGCCCCAGCCAGGCCCTGGGGGAGGGGGCAGCGGACAGAGGGCAGCGGCAGGGGTGGCCGCCAGCGCCAGGGGTGGCCGCCAGCGCCAGGGCCCAGGCCCAGCCACCCCTTGGGGTCGTTCTGCCTGCACAGGCGCCGGGAGGCCGGGGATCCCCACTCCCGTTGGCGACTGCTGGAGTGCCCGGGGTGCTCTGCGGCGCAGGCCAGTGGCCGTCTGCCCAGCTTCGGCCAAAGGACAGTGATTTGTGTCGGGCCACACTCGTCTGTTATGAGGCCAGGGGCGTGGCCCACGCTGCCCACCGGTTGGGGGTTTGGGGGGCTCTGAAACCCCACAGAACAGTCCAGGAGCCCCCAGTTGCTGGGGCTGGGGGCGCGGCGCGGGGCAGGAGGAGGCCGTCCCCCCACCCTGGCTGGCCTCGGCCCGCTTCTGTGTGCCGCCGGAGCTCACCCTCCAGGGAACCGGGGACCTGGTGAGTCAAAGCTGCTGAGGTGTCAGACCTGCGCTGGCAAAGTAGGGGCCCCGGGAACCCCCATTTACAGTCCAAGGTCAGAAGCCCCCCCCCCACCCCCCAGGCTTGCGGCCGGCAGGGCAGGGCTGTGGGGACACCCGAGGGAGGCTGTGGGTGGTTAGTGCCCTGGACAGCCCCTGCGCTGGGCCTGCGAGGCCAGCCCTGCGCAGCTGAGCCTGCCAGGACCTGGCTGAGCCCTGCGTGGACAGCGCCAGGACCGCGCAACGGGCGAGGGCCCCCACCCCATCGCACGGCATCTGGACTTGTGCTCAGGTCAAGTGATTTTCGCCGCCGATGCCACAGCGCTGCGTAGCGTGGACCACAGCCACAGCTGTCCAGAGCCGCGACCCGGTGGGCTCTCCCGGCACCGGCTGCACCCCGTCTCCCTGGGCGCCGACCCCAGCAGGAGTTTAGCCCGCGGGGGCAAGCGGCCAAGTCCACCCACTAGGGGGACCCAGGGCACAGACACCCCCTCCCCACCGTCACCCCGCAGCACTGGCTTGGAGGGGACCCGCCTGTCTGCTCCCCACAGTTCCTGGGCCAGCTCTCTCTCACCGTGCCCCCTGGCCTGCACCCCGGGTCGGGTGCACACGGATTAACCTTCCGGAGACACGTACTCAGGCGACCCCCGACTTGGGAAAACGAGAAAATGGGGCGCACGAAGGGAGTGCCCACCAGCCCAACAGCCGCGCTCTGGCTGAACCGGCCAGAGGCCCCACGCGCGTCCCCGCAGCGACGCGGCGACTTGTCCAGGGAGAAGCTTGGGGTACAGCGCGCGGCACGAGGCTGCAGCGGGGCGTGGACAAGCCGTGGCGGCCCGGACCGCCCCGCGAGGGCCCCTGG